ATAAATCGTTTATGAGAGTTGAATAATATAAATGGCATTACCAAGAGAAGGTGGCCCGAAAATTAAGAATTCCTGAACGTTCTGAAAATGACCTGATTTGACTCTACTGCCTGGAGGTTATTTATGATCAGCAATGCAGTCACCGCTTTCATTTTTTTTCCCGGCCAAATAGGGCGTAGTTGCTATGGTTGGATGTTCTTCATCGGGGTTGAAGTTGGTGTCTGCACTCATGCTTGTAATAGGCTTAATTAATGCAGTGCTCAGCATTTTATTTTTATTTTTAGATAAAATCATAGCCACTGACGGGCTTTGGGTGTGCGGTTATAAAACGAAAACAAAAGCTCGCAATCATCCGAACGGATTGAAATATCAAGCGCGAGGTATTTTTCCTGGAAACGCATAAAAGTCGTAAACCCACTGATGAATATGCTTATTTCAAGTGTCATATAACAAGAGAATTAATTAAAAACCGCAGTTGCGGGAACGTCACGGAAAACTATTGGAACGCAGAATGGGTGAAAACATACGTAGAAACTCCTCTCCAGTTTCACAATGGGAGTATCGGTGCGATCATGGACGGAATAAGCAACTTTACCTTCATAGCTACGCTAAGAAAAACCCCTTATGAGTCCTCCGATGTTGCTAAATTTCTCCCAATAAAATTGGAATTATCCTTGAAACTTCTAAATGGACCGCGTTTAACAGAAAGGAACCAAGCCACATCAGCTACTGCCAAATTTAATTGGGCAATTTAATTTTATACATGAAAAGGGTTGTGCGGATTTTTGTGCAAATTTCATTGAATTTTCTCCGTAGCGCAAAGCAAATTCCTCAAAAATTTCAAAGGAATCCGTACGAACGTTCTCACATAGAAAATTAAAATACCCGGTTAATTTTGGCGATGGCTGATGTGGCTGGGTTCCTTTCTATCAAACGCGGTCCAAATATTTCCCTTCGGATTCTCAAAAGAGCTTCCCATCCACCACTTAAAACGTTACAAATTTCAGGAGTGACCTCTTAATATATTCATAATACGATCTCAAATAATCAAGCGTCCACAGTATCTATTACCACTTCTCGCGATCAATGCATTCGATGAAGTGAGAGGCTCGGAGGAAAAGGCGCATAAGTGCAATTTTTGAAAAAATTGAGATTTTAATGATTTCAAGTAAAACTAGTCATAATGCTTACTCGGTAAAAATTCGCTCCAAAATTCCAATTTTCAAGCATCAAAAAGTCTCTTTGAACTTTCTTTCCGCCATAAGGATCCATGTTATTTCGAAACTTCAAACACGTATTTCTCGAAATAGCAAAAACTGCACTTATGCGCCTTGTCCTCCAAGCCCCTCAAGTAGGTTCGTAATCGCCACAGCCAAGTGTAAATCTTCTTTGCGCTTCTACGTCTTTCTTTTATTGGAGTGGAAAAATGTGGATCGGGGCATAGCGGTAGGAATAAGGGTATAAAGAAGAGGGGGGGGGGGATTCAGGTGTCAAGTTTCCCTCGGCCGGCTGATCAGAGCACGTTCATTCTTTAATTAAAATTCGATTCCTGTAATTAATGATTCCTATCCTAACAATACCGCGCCAGTACAGCAATCACACACCTCTTCCTTGATGAAAAATCCGTTTTATTAGCTCACCGTGTTTCCGTCCTCACTCGTGAGTTTTGTAACACTTGCCGGAACTTAAGAGTCTGTTCAAGGTTCCTTTTAATCTAATCCTATCCAAGAAAGGTGGAACGGGCAAAGGGCTTGAATGATATTCATTAAACAAGATTAATCAGGAAAAGAGACTGTCTATGGAAAAAGTCTAGAGGCTAATGTTTCAAGAACTTTTGATAGTACTTTTGGTCACGGTCAAGACCGAAAGTGGAGTTTTCCACAGGAAACAGTACCTAGAATGCCGAAGAAGAATCGTGAAAAATTCAGTTTAATTTTATGTTGTAGAAAAGACGACTATGTTGCATCGCGCAAAGTTGCAAATGTGTTAGACAAATGAAGGGATGTAAATAAAATGTGTCACAATTAAGCTATCATTCATAGCTGTTTATTTCTGAAACAATAGAATGCAAAATTTCATTTTGTTTCGACAATTTTGAGCCTCGAATGAATGGATTACATTTTAAATTGTTCCTCTCCCTCAAGATTGTTTTCCTTTTAAACTGTTAACATCGAACCATCATCGAAAAGTCCAAAAGTTCGACTCTCTGAAAAAAATTTAAATCTGCGTTAAACCTTCAAGAATTTGTTCAGAAAATCGTGAAAGTAGCGGAAAATGAAACTTATCCATCGCTCTAGATCTGAAAATGGTGTCAAAAGAAGGCTTGAGGTGAGGTTTTATTTTGAAATGTTGAAAATGGCGTTTGCTTTGTAAGATCGCCTGAACGGCTTATTATGTCACATGTGCCACAAGCTTTTTATGATCGAGCCAAAAGTTGAAAGCGTTGCCGACTAAGGACCAAATAAACACACTTAAACGTTGAGAGACGTGTGAATTAGACTCATAAGAAATTCGAGGTTTAATTTATCGAACGATGGTGTAATTTTATCTACTTTCACGGAAGAAGGAAGGCCCCTTGATTTATCAGTGAACGTGTGAATTTTACAACAAAATATGTGGTTCACAATCTCTGAGACGCGGACAGTACAGGGACAATTCTGCCGTGCTGAGGAAGAACGCCGTATGAACATTGTAGAGTTGCCAAATTTCCTTCGATAAAATGTTTGTTTTTGAGGAAAGATATGAATATTTTCACTTCACATTTTCGGGATCTTTAGGTAAAATGGCAAACGAAATTACCTGAAAAATTGGAAGAAAAATATTTACAAGTTCACCAGGAAATTCGTGTTTTATCAAAAGAAATCTGGCAACGCCTGAAGATTCATACGGAGTTTTTCCTTAGCACGGCAGAATATATTTTCGAGACTCCGCATCTCTATCTTATACCTAGTGTTAAAGTTACTTTTGAAAGTCAACGCTAAGATTTGCCAAATGATGACGTATGATCTAGGAGTTGACCGAAGTGCTCACCCAAAAATTCATCAGTCATTACGTAGCGAATTTTATTCGATTTTAAACTCAACAAGTTGCTCATCAATCATCATTCAGCGAAAAGAAGTTTCAAATTTCGCCATTTATTGCCTTCTTCGCTTGCGATACTTAGATTGTTAGCACGGGGCCTTTAAAATACATTATCTCTCGTCGAGTCTTTTGTTAAAAATACATCGGGTTTTCTTCAAAAAGCCGAATGTAGATAAAAAAAAAAACCGTATAATTTCAGGAAGTTCATTCGATGTTTTTTTTGGAAAATTCAAATTTTATCCTAATGAGGGGGGGGGGGGGGGAGGGTTGAATCCTACCTTTGTGAACAATTTTCATAGTTTGGATTAATTAAACTCATTTTTTCGTGTAAACGTCCAAGTGTAGTCGGTGTATCAGATACGAAGTCGAAAAATGTACAAAAAAACAGCCAGGACGATTACATAACCCGCAAAGTTGTTTGGGAAATTTGGCACCACCGTAATGCTGGTAACACGAAGAATTTAAGAGCGTGACATTTAAATATATCATCGGGGCTGAGGTGTAACGTTGTAATTTTAAGATTAATGACTCGACCCTTATGTGGGCGCCAAAATTGCATACACGTTTTTACTCGCATCATTTTTCATTGCCGTTTTTTCAGGCGCACCGCCGCCGCAGACCCTGAGGCCCCGCCCCCGTCGCGTGAGGGAGATCGATCCTGGTTAAGGGACGGAGAGTTTTGCCGCGCTAAGTCAAAACGACGTAAACAAATTCAAATACCTACGGCTAAATTTCCTCCGGAAGCATCTTTATTCTTGTATAAAGTTATAACTATTAATTTTCGCTGAAAATTTGCAGATTGCCTAAATTAAATTAGAAAGAAAATAATGGACAATTTTAACCAGAAATATCCACGAGTTTCTCAGAAAATGTATGTATCATCAAAAGAAATTTGGCAACGCCCGACTGTACATGATACGTTTTTCTGCAGCATGGCAAAATAGAGGCTGCAGCCAAGAGGATCGCGGTAAATTTTTGCTCTAACGTTACGGTAGAGCTTATAATCGTCCTTCAAGTTTCACTGCTTGAAAAGTTAACAACTTCAGCAAAAAAGGTCTGATGCTGTGAAGGTAAACTCAATGGTAACATGGATTAATCTCAATGCTTTTAAGGTCAATGTACCCAATCGTTGAGCGCAGTTTTGAAAGTTACTGGATCAAATTGAAGTCATCAGAACGAGAATACTGCTATTGGCTGTACTCTTGGCCTAATGTAATCATGTTTTAGGTTCATATGCATAGCTCGATTCATGTTAAAAAAAACTTTCAAACAAGACCGAATTTTAGACGCAGTTTGGTTGCAGGAATCGTACGTGCGGTTACGTGACTCGAACAGTGCGTTTTTACTTTAAGTCTGAGATGTTTTTCTAACCGTAAATTCCACTGATTTTTCTTCTGATCTTACGTTAATATCAGCAATTTTTTTAACAAAACCGGCACAAGCACATTCTTGAAAAAAGACAAATTATTCTAGTCAATTTTGCAACCGTGGAATGAAGTTACGATCCTTTGTTCGGGAAACGACGAATATAAGATATTGAATTTACTCGATGTTCGTTTAAGTTGTCTTATTCATGATATTGAGTTAAAAATCGCCTTAAGTCAAAACGTAAATCTTGAGGGACAGCTGGTTTAGAAAGAGTTATAAATGGACTGAAGTCATCAGAACGGAACCAACCCACATTAAGTTGAAACTGAGAAAAACAGAGTTTTGAAGTTTTACACCCACATAAGGCTCTATGCAAAGAATAAAATTTGACCTCCATTCTCTACTAATTTTTTCCGATTCTCAGATTTTCACAGAAGAAAATGAACATCTAGTGGAACTCAAAAACATTCTCAACTCAATTTTTTCGAAAATGTGGGTTGGTTCCTTTCTGATAAACTCGGTCCAAATAGGGCGCAATTTGACGCACTAACCGCTTTGATGATGTCGGTCCTCTCGAAGAATCCGTCTTTGCGGCGCGTCCAGAAGGTGAGGTGGCCTTTGCCGTGGGTGATCATGAGATTGTCGTCAAGGGGGTGGAAGGCTGCGCCGGAGACGTCCTCCTGGAGGGTGGCCACCTTGCCCAGGAGGTGCCCCCATTGCCACTGCCACACCGATAAGATCCGCTCTCGGCCCCCGTCCACCGCCAGCACGTAGCTACCGCCGTTCAGCTGCGAAAACGCCACCGCTGATACTCCTGTAACGCATCACAGTAATATTGTAGTCCGCTTTGCGAGCAGCAAGCACCTTGAATAATTGGATTGCACTTTGCGAAAAGGAACCAGGAGCATTGCAATGTTGCTAAGACTGTGCAACTTCATCCTTTGCAATATAACAATTGGAAGTCTGAAAAAGTATGAAATCTAGTTGGTAATTTTTGTCCTGAATTTACAATTTTCAGCAAGAGAAGCAAAAACTGTTTATAGATAATCAGGTTTTTCCTCCAAGAAAAAAGAAACTGCATAATCTTAGCAACATTGCAATGCTCCTAGTTCCTTTTTGCAAAATGCAATCCAATTGCAATGTAAAGCAATTTTTTAGTGAAGGGAGTTGGATCGGTATCAGATTTTCAGATGTCCGAGGCAAGAGATTTCTAGAGTCCTAGAGATTGGAGCACATGCGTGTCGTAGGAATTTGCAAATTTCGGTACGCCCTCCTCTATAAAATTAAACGAAAAACTCGAAGAAATCACTAATTGCTGAACAAACTCTGAAGCTCCATAAAAAAGAAATTAAATAAGAAGAAGAGGAAAGAACTAGAAAAAGTAAGGATCCCCTAACATTGCGTTAAGGGTCCGGTCCAGTGGCCTGATGATTGTTGACATTTTGTGTTTCTCAACCAAATAAGACAAAATTAAGCAGATTGGATTCATGTGATGTGCTCAGAGTTTTGCGTCTTGTCGTGCCAATTAAGGATGGATCTGAAGAGGATTTGACACAATTGTATCGGCAACTCAATGAAGGGATGCCTTAAGCGTCTCGTTAGTTACATCCTCTACCACCATAACAAAGAAGACGAAGGATGAAGCTGACCGATCACATAACTTAGTTCTCCTTAATCTTGTCTTATCGGTCGACAAACACAATATTTCAATAATCAGGTTGCAGGTCCATCCATAGACAAACTAGGATGCACAGATGATCTCCATGGGAATGAGGGTCATACCTATCTCGAACTCGCCCATGCCGAAGACGTAGAGGGTGAGAAGGCTCTCGGTGCTCCAGATGCGGATGTGAGCCTGGGTCTTGCGGGTGCGGCCGGCGCGCTGGCCGGAGGCGACCATCTCTCGAGAGGGGTGGAGATCCAGACACTGGATGTCCTCTGTGTGCCCGATGTAGTGCCGCTGCTGTTCCTCGTCCCGGTCGTACAGCACTGCCACGGCAGCCACCCAGAACAGCAACTCCCCTGTCGGCAGCACCCATAGATTCCGCCGTGTGTCCACGCCGCGGTACCCGTATCTGAACCCCGGACGTCAAGGAATATTCGCAACAGACGGGTGGTTTCACGATAACTGGAATAGTTTTGTCGCCGTAACAGACAACTCATTTTTCGGTCATGTTTCAGTAGTAATTATAATCACTCGATTTTTTTTCTTGCATTAATCTACACAGGGTTACGTGTTATAACGCTTTCCAAAGATTTATTTCAATATTATTTCAATTTTAGTATATAAATGGCCGAAAATGTGCCGTCTGTTACGCTGACTTTTGACCGCGTAACAGACAGCGCATTTTCGGAATTCACACAACATTAATTGAGGAGTAAAGCAATGAACCATTAGAAATGCGATAGAATACGCAACTCTTTGAAGATAATTGCGAAAATTTCAAGTGATTATCATTTCTGCTAAAAATATGACCGAAAAATGTGTTGTCTGTTACGGCGACAAAATTATTCCAGTTATCGTGAAACCACCCAGACAGAGTCTCAAGAACGGTTTCAGGACATTTTGTCAACGATTTTTTGTCCGCGCACCTTTTTTGTACAGTAGTTTACGCCCACACGTAAAATAAGCAACAGTGACTTGGTCCAAGCGTTATATTTTAGTCGGTATGTAAAATTTATTGACAATATAGAAATGAGAAATTGAGAGAGAAGGAGGTGTTGTTATGGTTGCTCATTTTCTCAATGAAATGTTATTACTTTCTCCTTTTGAATCATCTTTTTGAATTGTCATTGGTGAATATTTGATTTTATTTCTATCCTTAAAATATTGAATGTACAATATACCTTATATATGTATAGGTACTTTTTTTATTTTTTTCTTTACGAAATTATTACTTCATTTTGAAAATATTTATATTTTTAAAACGTGACAAATATTTGTAAAACCTTTTCCAAGCGACATTCATCTCAATGAGCCGTAATTGTGCCGACAGAAACTGCAAAAATGAATGAAAGAGGGGAAAAAACCAAGAAGCACGCAATCTTTAGTTTTAACCCATTTTTATATCGATCTTTTAGAGTCAAATACGTCAAATGTTGAGCGTTTCGTTGCGCGTACACCTCGCTGCAGCACAATAAAAGCACCAAATGTAAAAGAAAAAATTAAAGCGCTTTGGAAATCATTAAATTTGACACGGAACCACCAATATTTAAAAAACACACATTATCTTATTATTCTCCTTTGATAAATTGATACATATTTTTTCCCATCAATTTAAATGAGAATAATCAATGCAGAGTGTGCTAACATTTCAAAATCATGAGTTAAAAACCGCTGACTATGCGAGTATAAATATTAAAGCAGAACAGAGCGGAGCGGCATGCTGCCAGCGCGAGAGGCTCACTGGCGCCTACAAACCTAAGTGGATACCTCTCGCATTGCACAATGCTTGAAGTATCCACTTAGGTTTGTAGGCGCCAATGCGCGTTTCGAGCTGGCCGCCCGCCCGCCGTGCGGCGGCGCCTGAAGCAACTATTTCACAACAGAGGTGTTGCACAGTATTATACGAAATTGAACACATTAAAAATGACAGGCATCCTTTAGAAGAACAGATCTTTCCTCGCAAAATAAATCAAGATACTTATCGTACACAGGAAAAATCTAAGAGCCTTTAGCTGAGGCAAATCAAAAGGTTCATCCGGTTCAGGTATAACAAGGTGGGAATTTCTTGAAAGATAATTAAGTCCTGTTACACCAAAGAGGTGTAGAGAGTTTTAATGAATTTTGTCTCATGGAATTGACGCTTCCCCATTTTTACCAAATTTCTCAACTATATATTATTCTCCGTTCTAATTTTTTTTTAAAATAAGGAGGAGAAAAGATGCAAAACTTCGGGATAGCTTTGCATCTTTTTTCATCGGAAATTTTTGTAAAGGATACACCCAGTCGAGAAGAAGCCGTTTTTCGGGTGGTGTGTTGTCCGCAGGAGCGTGGTGTAATGGTGGATAGAATGTTCGCCGCATTCCCTGTATTGTTACCCTCAGCGGTTCTTCCTTCAGAACTTCCAGTAAAGTATAATCTGAATATAAATCAAACAAGCCATTAGCACAAACATGGCTCTATTAAAACCAAGCGTTCTTGGGACATGATAATGACCTCATTTTAAATGTCAAATTACAATCTTTTGATCTGGGCCAAAACTATCTCTTATGGTTCAAAATTGACCAAATCATCATCGTCTCAATGTAGAAAGTGGCATACTTGTAAGTCCAGAAGGTTCATAGGTTTACACTGTTGTGCTAAGGGAAATTACCGTATGAACATTCGAAAGCTGCCAATTTTTCCCCAATAAATTGTTAATTTTTAAGGAGAGCTATGATTATATTCTCTCAGAATTTTCAATTGATATAAATCTAATTACGATTAAAATTCTGTGAAAAATCGATCGGAAACTATCAACAAGTTTGCCTAAGGATTCGCGTTTGATCGAAGAAAATTATTGACAACTGACGAAGTTTCATACGGCGTTTTTCCTTAGCACGGCAGTACAGGTCTGTATCCAAAGTTGTTCATATTTCCTACCCTTTTAGGAGAGAACCAGAAACTAGGATGCCAGTCACTGAATATCCTATTTTTTGATAGATGAGACACCATTCCACGGACCTTGTCGCTTTTCAAGATGGATTTGGCATCTTTTACGAGATGAAGAATGTGAACGAGACGAAACTATAGACCCCTCCGCACTCTCGCTCGATTTCACGAGCTTACATTTCCTCATATGTAAATTGATTCGTTGTTTTTCGTGTCGAGTGCGGAGGGGGGGGGGGGGGGGGGGCGGTGTCTGAGGAATTTAAATATCTGAAAGCAGCGAATTCCGAGAATGCGAGTTTCTTTCCTCTTGTTCTTGCTCGCCGCGAACAAAAGCAGTGGTTTGAGACCAGCAATCATGCTCTTTTCATGGGAGTAATTGAAATATATTATCCCGAGACATGATAGGAATCCTCGTTACGCTTTGAGATTCCCGCCGTTTCCTCGGGAACTCGACGGGGAGATGCTAGTATGCTGCGCGAGGAAAAAGTTCATGTAAAGGTCAGCTATATTACACGTGCTCAATCTCGCAAAAACTGCTTTCCCGTGTGAGCAACCGACCTTTATGGAATGATCTTTTTCTTCGGCGAAACCCTCCTATCATTACTTCTGATGAGTCACATGCACCAATGACCATTAGAGAATTCAGGAGCTTGGAGGACAAGGCGCATAAGTACATGTATAATTTTTGAAAATATTAAGGTGTTCATGAATTCATCTAAAACAAGCTTGAAAGTTTATTTTGTTAAAAATTTACTACTGAAATCCAACTTCAAAGCATCAAAAACGGACCTTACACTTCCTTTTTGTCGTAGAGCTTTATGTAATTTTGAAAATCTCAAACAAGTATTTCTTGAAATAGCAACAACTGCATCTTGTCCTCCACGCCCCACCATTACTCGTACACGTTCTGCTCGGCTTTTTTTTTTGCAATATATTCATGGAAAATTTAGATTCTTTCGATTGAAACATTAGGATGTTTGATCGAAGGGCTTATTAAACCAATCAAATACACATTCCCAATCGTTTTTTTTTTTTTTTTTTTTTTTTTTTTTTTTGTGTGTGAATAAAAGCTCGTGTTTGTCGACAGAATAAGACAAGATGAAGCGGATGAGACAAAATAATGCAACGAAATACAGGAATGGAGTTATGCGATTGGTAAGCTTCATCATTCGTTTCCTTTGTCATGGGAAATCGGCGAGAGACTATGGGCACCTTTTGAGTTGCCGATAGTTTGTCGTCTATATCGTCTGATTGTGAGATAGGCACGACAATTAGGTTAACTGATAAAATTGACCGATCATATAACTTAATCCCTGCTTTTATCCTGTCTCGTCCGCTCTATCTTGTCTTATCCGGTCGACAAACACAAAATTTCAACTATCACGCTTCAGGCCTCTGACTAAGAAAGAAGCTAGATAAAACCAAACTCTGAACTCATTTAACGGCTCAAAGTCATTTTGGAGATGTTCTAGTATTTTCCGCATTTTAAAGAAATGTTGCTGGTGAAACATTGTATTGTTCTCACAGAGTTTTTTTTTTTTTTTTTTTTTTTTTTTTTTTTTTTTTTTTTTTTTTTTTTTNTTTTTTTTTTTTTTTTTTTTTTTTTTTTTTAAATCATCATTTTGCAAGCATTATTGTGCACACTGGAAAGCATGTCTCCAGGACCCAGCGTCCAGACCCTTGAAAAATTTTACATGAGGTAACTCTCTTGATTCAATTGGACACTCGCTTGAATTGAGAACCAACTTCAGACTCTTGGGAAATTTGGTAAGAAATAATGCTCTTGATTCAATGGAGATGTTGCATGTGTGAGGAATTTGCGATTTGACTGAATTCTTTTGTAAGAGTTCGCGAGAAACACGATGGTGCCACTGGTTTTCTCTAAAATCAACTCCCAGGCTCATAAAAAGCTCTCAAGTTGGGGCCAAAATGGAGGGGATATCCCACGCTATCCTGAGAGTCCACCTCTATATCAAGACAAACTCTCCATGCAAAAATAGGGAGCAAATACATTGACAGGGCTGCCACTTTATTTGGGGACTCCAAAACTGAAAACACGGCAACCCTGTTACTCTCAGGGTAGGGTGGGATATCCCCTCCATTTTGGCCTCAACTTGAGAGCTTTTTTTGAGCTTGGGAGTTGATTTCAGAGAAAACCAGTGGCACCATCGTGTTTCTTGCGAACTTTTACATAAGAATCAAGAGTCAAATCGCAAATTCCTCACACATGCAACACCTCCATTGAATTTTCGCTTGAATCGAAACCAAGCCTAATTATTTTGAAACCTAATTCTTTCATAACCAAGCCTAATTAATGCGGATTTCCCTTTGATTTAAGCACAAAAAAAAAATCCGATTTAAAGAATACTTTTTCGTGTGAAACTCTTTTAGAGTCCGGGCCCCAGATCCAAGATATTTTCTTTTGCCGTATATTAGGGGTGGGACAAACCTGAATTGGCCCTAACGACGGTGGGTTCAGGGTCGTAGAGGACCCTGGGCCTGCTCTTGCTGCGGGCGCGGCGTTGGCGGGTGGAGGGACCGCCGGAGGGCTCGACGAGGACCGGGGCTGCCGCCAAGGCCCCCCGCGAGCGTGACCTCCGCATCACCGGCGACCGCAGACCTCCGCCGCCTCCACCGCCCCCGCCTCGGTCCCCGCCCAGATAGAACGTGTCCACGTCCGAGAACTCGTTCCGCAGCTGCGAGAAACTCCGCACCTGAAATGCAAACACATGTTAGATCCATACCACATGGATTGCATTTTGCAAAAAGGAACCACTAGCATTGCAATGATGCTAAGATTGTGCAACTTCATCTTTTGCAATAAAATTGCGGAAATCGTGAAAAACTATGAAATTTAGATGGTAATTTTTGTCTTAAATTTACAGTTTTTAGTGAGTGAAATAGAAACTATTAATGGATAATCGGGTTTTTCCTCCAAGACAAAAGAAGTTGCACAATCTTAGCAACATTGCAATACTAGTGGTTCCTTTTTGCAAAATGCAATCAAAATAAGTGTACGCACTTTTAGACTGCGACGACGCACAGTGGATCGAGTCAAATAGAGAGGTCGGAAACAAAGTTTTTGACTAAAATTGCAAATTTTTATGTTTATTTCTTCATATTTTAAATTTTTAGGGGTGCTTGTAGAAGACAATTTCGCGAGGAAACCAATGGAATCACTTTTGGTACCTCAAAATTTTGTATAAATGGAGTTATAAGCGTTTAAAGTTTCCAAATTTTGTCCGACCTCTCCTATTGACTCGATCCACTGTGCGACGGTAGATCGTCTGACGTCACTTATTGTTGTAAAGTAAATGGTAGAAGCAAGATGGCGGATCCTCTGTCGCAGTGTAAGAGTGCGTAAACTAATTTGGCGTGGACTTTACCCCTATGCTGAGAAGAAAAAACAAGCAGTGAACTCCACCGCAGTGTGCTGATAAGGCACGTCATTGATTCGTGTATAAAATTTATTGGTTGGAATTTTCATCAATTATGAGTTAAAAAAGACGAAAATTCAAACCGACGAAAGTTAGGAACATTTTTTTTTTGAAGTTTCAAAAAATAGAGCGCTAGTGTGATTTGCTCAAAAATGTTAAGAAAAATAATAATAAGAGGGAACTTTGATTACTAAATCATGGATTTGACAACTAGGTTGTTTGAGAATTGTTAGTTATTTAGATAGACATATAGTGAAAAAATTACCTCTTGACCGGAAACAGTATACATTCGCTTGGCACCATTCATCTTCAAAACTTGTCCTAAATCTTCTAAAACCTCCTCAAAAGGCTGCATCGTGCGTAAGTTCAGCAAAACTCGGCACTGAAACATAAATAATTCTCATTGTACAAAGTGTTCGAGCATTCATTCATCCTTTACATTATTTCAAAATTTGACAAAAAGCACTCCATTTAAACAAAAATCTGCATCAAGATAGGCGGAAGATTTTTCCCCTCCTCTCTTATTTAGGATTCCTAAAAGGATACCCATGTTAAGGGTATTAGAATGGCGGAGATTTCGTGCATTTTCTAGATCCATTTCCTCATTGGAGCATTACAAAGCCCCATGTTACGCATTACGCATTAACGTGCTACGCGATTGCAGTACAAGCGCTGCCGAAGCGCCTTCAATTTTACGTGCATGCAACACGGTCATCCCTAGAGCACGAATAGTTGCATCCAAGCGTTGTCATCAACGTCGCCAACCGTCCCATTTTTGAATCAAGCGTTCCATGTTCCGAACGCATACTTACTAACAAGAAGTCTCTCGGATTTCGGGCAATTTATTGAGTGCTCAGAATATTTTTTGTTGTTCATTTCAAAATGGTTTGCAGAGTAAGATCCTAAAGAAAATTGTGTAAAATAATGTATGATTAAAAAAGTCTAACAAATTTTGACTGATACGCGAACCAATTCAAGGAGTTCCTCAAAAATATTTAGGAGGATTCGAGTTCGGTTTATTTCTACATATTACTTTTTGGAATTTCATTTTGGAGGTAATTTTAAGGTGGAACAAACAATTTTCTAAATAATTAGAAAATATAATTTCATCTTAATGGTTCAAATGTTCACAGGTTCTTGACGGACAACGCAATGGAAGGGCCCAAAAATAATAAAAATGAAGACAAAAATGCTTAAAGAATTTGGGGAGTGGACTGTATGTATTTTTACTTTAGAAAAAGGCTTCAAAACGAGTCTGGGTGGCTAAGAAAACTGAAACTCAAAAAAGAAACTCACAACGGAAATTTAAACTAATTAAGAGGCGAATCTAAATTACTTAAATTACCACTTATTTTGCAAAGAGAAAGAAACTGAATCAATGTGAAAATGAAAAAGAAAAAGAGCTAGAAGAGCTTTACAGAAAATTTAACTAAACTATATCCTGAGGGCATGAGGAGCTTTTTTTACATGTACCGCGAAACTGAAGACGCTACTGGGATTCCAGTGGTCTCGGCCTCTATCTGCATTTTATCTACCTCGTCGTTCAATTTGCGAAGTTAATGCGTATTTACATTCATTTCCCAAGGACGCACTGAAATAGAAAAGTGTATCCAAACCTTGATATGAAATTCGCCTCTTCAGGAATAGGAGCGACAGGGACCTGAGCAGATGAGTATAAGTACTCCACGACGAGTGAAGGATCCTAAGTGAAACCGATCGCGGATAAACCGATAAAAACCTAAGCGCCACACTGCCGAGATAAGAAAAAACGCCTTATGGGCCTCCAAATGTTGCCAAATCTCATTCTTATAAATACGAATTCACCGAGAATTTGCGTTTATTTTCCTCACATTTTTCACAGAATTTTACTTTTAACTCGATCAAAAGTGCCCGAGAATTCCAGGGCAGATATGCGTAGTTTTCTTCAGACATAATATATTCTCGAGAGAAATTTGGCAACATTCGAATGCCCATACGTTGTTTCTCCTCGGTACAAATGTTTCCTCGTCACCGCGGAAAATGCGTCGCGGGTCGGGCCGCTGAGCGGAAACACTTTTTCCGTCATTTCGGTCCGGGCAGATTACGCGTGAAATGTAGAAATAAATCGGGCCCATTTTTCTCCCGGCAAAATCACGGGTCCCCCGATCGCTTCGGTTTCGCTTTCTTCGGCGCGGGAAACAAGGTTTCAGGGCTCCCTTTTGTTTCCTCGGTCATTTTGTCGCTCACCTGGAAAAAGGACATAACCACACTTTTAGCTGAACCCCATCGTCCGTATAACCCATTTTTTCCCACGGCTCGTAAAGAAATGGCGGTACGCCCTTCTGTTCATGGATTTACGATTGCGAAGGGACTGGCATCCGTGCCCTCGGAATTTTGCGGGCGGCCACAAATACTTGTCTGTCAGAACCATGAACCCTTTCTCCCCTCGTTGCTGCCCCCAGCGGCGCGTTTAAAAAAAACCCTTTTAATCTCTGATCGATGCGAAGAAAAAAAGTTCTGTGTTTAGAGGGCTGATTTAGTGGTCGTGTCGTTGAATATATCGCTGTTTAATGGTTTCAATGTGAACCGAGACTTAACGTAGTCGAATTGACGTGGTGGGGTCGGATACGACATCTAACAGAGATAGTGTTTTTAGAGACCCTTTACGAACGATTTCACTTATGCGATCGAGTTACAAAAAAGTTAAGTTTGGAGATGAGCACTGTTTTTGCCTCGATACTGATTGATAAACAACTTGTTGAGCATATGATTCGCCCAATGGTGAATGATGAATGCTATAAATATTACATCATAAGCATTGTTTCCACAATCCAAAAGAAACATCGATGCGAGCGAATGTTGAGGGTAGAAAATTTAGAGACGCCGCTCCTTTTTCATTAATATAATCGTAAACGGAGTATCGAATTGACTGCAATTTGCAATATTGAACTGATCCATTTGGAAAACAACCTAAGCGCCATTAGTTTCCCTTTGCAGATAGGTGATATTGTTAGCTATATATTTTAGTTTCTTAATACAACATGGGGTCCAAACATACGTCTCTCGATACTCTGTTTACATTTTCAGTAAAAAAATACGAGCCTTCCCTGTAACTACATAGGTTGTCCCAAAAGTATTGCACGTGTTTTTTTTTTTTTTTGGACGAACGGTAGCAGATATCAAATTCGGGCTGTGCAGTCTTAAAGACCGAGCAATACCGATAGAACAGACAAATCCGAGCTCTCTAAGTCAAAAAGTGACCAAGTTACAGTGTTTTGAAAATGACTTGTAGAGGTGACCCCGACACGATTTTTAGCTTCTTTTCTGGAAAAAAACAAAGAATTAAAGATTCAAGTGATTTTATTAAGCAATTTTACAGAATCTTACCAAGATTACTAGCATTTACTTTTCTTCACCGGACGACTGGACACTAGTTACCCTCTCAAAATACCTTCCATCACTTGCCACACAGCGCCGCAACCGTTCTATCCACTTCTTCAAACATGTTTTTCCGAATTCTTCTTGCCTGATGTTCTTTTAGAAAGTTTCAACAGCTCTTTTTATCTCGTTGATGGAGTTCCTGCCTCTTAAGCTCTTTTTCAACGTAGGGAATAACCAAAAATCGCAGGGTGCGAGGTCCGGGCTGATACCATGTTGCCAACTTCATTCGACCGCGACGATTGCTCTGTAGAATTTTTGATTAATCAAATCTTTGTTTTTTCCAGAAAAGAAGCTAAAAATCCTAGAGGGGTCACCTCTACAAGTCATTTTCAAAACACTGTAACTTGGTCTTTTTTTGACTTAAAGAGCTCAAATTTTTCTTGTTTTATTGGTAATTGCTTGGTTTTTAAGACTACACAAACCGCATTTTGATATCTGCTTCCGTTCGGCCAAAATAAAAAAACGTGTAGTACTTTTGGGACAACGTATGTAACAGGGACTAATGTTACCGGAACCAAAATTTGGCTCCTTTGAGTAATAAGAGCCTCGGTTACCTAAATCGAAAACTTGGGTGTCCTGCGTAATCTGAAGTTTTCATCCTCGTGTAAATTCGAACCAATTTCAACCCTGATTGATGCGAAGAAAAATAGTTTCTGTTTCTAATTGATCTTATATGTATCGTACTTAAAATTTTCGAATTTCCCGCCCCGTCGTAATGAACACCCCATGATAGTGAGCGAGTCCTCTGTGTTGTAAATCACGATTAAATCAGATTTAAGATGAACAAATATTTATACGTACCATTGTTATCAATTAGATTTTGATATAATAATAAAAAGCACGATTCGGGTCAATTGGCATTCACGTGAGACGAATCGAAGCTCTTTAGAACTTCATAGCGATGGAGGTGCTAGGGTTCACAGTGAAGCGAGTCAATGAGAGAGGTAAAGGATATGATTTGGAAATTTCAAAAGCTTTTATCCTTATTGATACGAAACATGGATGTTTAAAAGTGGTCTCATTAGTTTGCTCGTAGAATTATGACGAAAGAAACATCAAACTTTCCATGGTTGGCTAAAAGTTTTCCGTCGGATCCTTCCACTTTAAGGCTGTTTAAATAGACGTTGTTTGAAATTGATATTTACCGATTTCTTGGCTTTCTTTCTCGGGGAAGTTATATTAAATTACTTGCCGTATGTGATGGAGTCGGGAGAAAAGAGAGTAAGGGCGGAAGCTCAGACTATCCATTGAAATGGAGGAAGCGTGACTCAAGTCAGAAGTTTACGTTACTTCTTTTACCCTCATTAATTTTTTAAAACATCAAGAAGGCGAAATTGAAAGACTTTTTGAAATATTTCTCAGAGTGGGCGACTCAGTTCCTGAGCAACAGATACAATCAAATTGTAGCGTGGTTGCGTTTAATGCTATTCTAAACTGTCAGGCATTGTGGGTTCATGGTCACTCTCATAAATTTTTATGGTCATTTTGGATTAGCAAAATAACAGCTCATTTGTGTCATGTCACAAAGCCGCTTAGTTAAAATTCAAATCTGATAGCTTTCTCTCTCCAGTTCAACAGGTTTCCGCGCAAGAGAGTTAAAACACGTTTCCTCTTCAAAATTTCACGTAGAACACGATTTGTAAGATGCAAATTACTAAGCCTTTCTACTGATCAAGGTATTAATGTTTTTATTCAGCATTGGTACTAAAATTTTAAGTTTCTCGCTCACAAGAAAAATAAGAGAACGTGATTCAAAGCGTTTGCTACAACGGTTTGGGCATGATTCTTAATTGAGCAGTATTACTTTCCCCCTTGCGCTGTTCTAAGTGTAAACAAAATGCAGTAGCTGAGCCAAAGAGCCAATATTCAGCTTTTCATATTTTGATGCTGCAAAGACCGTCTTAATAACACCTAGTGTGCAACTGAAGTGGAGTATGGTTTGTTTCATTAACGGAAAGTTTGAATTTATCCATCGAAAAATGTTTATATCTTTGTTAGGAGGTAATTTCTTTAATATTCGCTGTACAGATCATGTTCAACGAAAAATTTTGATGAGGAAACTCATATTCTAATGCAAAACGCATTGCGACAAACGGATCCAACACAACATAAAAAAGAGCAAGCGGGAGGACACGAGTTGATGATGGCGCAGAGATACAATTATTCGTGCTTGGTTGATGTCCGTAATGCGTCTGCAAAATTGAAGGCGTAATGGCACGCGGTGTGAACTCGCAACGCTCTGTTCTCTGCTACCAATGGAAAGTCACTCAGATTGAGGAGAAAAGTTAAAGAAAGAGGCTTGATACGTCTCTTATTCTATTTTCGGCTGTGTTGACACTCATTTTTTTTCTCTTTTTTCCTAATTGATGTCTGATTTTTTTGGATGTCTTTGAAGACCTGCATCTGAAGCTCGTATGTATCGATCTCATACAACTCGAAGGGGGCGTGTTTTTAGCAAGCTTTGGGTCAATTTGACCTGGCTTATGCATTTAAGGGTTAAATTGTTCCTTGTTCAAAGGTCCAAAACACAAAATTGTGAGGAACGTTGTTGTATAATGTATGAAATTATTTCTTTGTTTCAGGCAAGTTTCCTGTTTAAATTCATAAAGGTGCAGCATCCATCGTGAATCCAAACCGCACCACCGGCCAATCAGAAGCGCTAAACCGGACCTAAGTGCAGTCAAGACTTGTCCTAAGTTTATCTAAATACGGCGGAAGGACCAACAAAATTTGGTCTAAAGAAGTTGGTGCAGCGGATGAAGGGCTAGTCTTTTGAACCGAAATCAGTACGTATAACCGAGTGTTTCTTTCTATGACGGCTTCAGCGGGCTGATATTTGAAATTGATAGACAAAGCTGTAGATAAAGAAGACATAGGGGAATGGAACAATCCTATTGGTTTAAATGGTTGGTTCTTTAGACTCAGGGAGAAAATAATGGACTAACTATTGGGTCTCTCGTGTATTGTCGTTTGTTAGTCGATTATCTATCTGCTCTGTCCATTGCCCCCACCCGCTTCCACCGACAGAATCCTTCCATACCCCTTTTGTCTCCTTTGTCTTTGAGTTCGCCCTTGAAATTTCATGTGAAATTTCAAACGGCATCATAAATTTCAATTTTTTTGAAAAATTGATTTATTGGCCCCTTAATTCCTTTTCTTCACTCATGTACCTAAATTTAATAATAATACATTTTCTTATTGTTCCTCACGCCTGTTTTTTCTTTCTTTCCAATTAGCTAGTCTTGTTACTCTCCTATAAATAATATGGCATCGTAAAACAATTGTGTGCCTCAAAAAAAAGTCATGATTGTGCTATTCTTTTCAGTAGGTAAAATTCTTCTCTAAGATTAGAATAAATAGTATGTACCTAAGTACCTTTCTTTTCTATTGCTCTAAACTTTATTTGCATTTAAATGGTAAATTTCAAGAATTATAGATGAAGAGCCCAGTACTCAGTGCATTGTATGTTGTATGTAACGTTGGAGTACATATTTCTGCTGTTTTTTATTTTTTTTGGTTTTTTCTACCGTTTTTTTTTATTT